CGGTGGCGCGGCAGCAGCAGGAGGCACCACTAGCTAAAGTGGTACCTCAGATTAAGAACAGTTTCAGGTTAAGAACGGACCTCCGGAATGAATTAAGTACTTAACCTGAGGTACCACTGTAAATGAAAGGTGCTCAGTGGGTGTAGAATGCTAACTGTTGAGGGGTGGAGAAAGAGAGAAATGCAAATCAGGGTGGGGGGTGGAATGGTGTGTCCCAAAAAAGGGCATAACTGTGCGAGCTGGAGCCCTGAGCAGGAACACTCTGTTCTGTAACATTTTGTTGCAGATCCAACATATAGAGACACTTAATTGGAGTCTTGGGCTTCCAGGAGTTGATAAGGCAGTTGTCTACCTGCCTTTCTCCTGCCAGATCTCCAGTGCCTTTAACAACCGCACCACAGATAAGCAAACCATCTTATGAAGCCTTTCATGGCAGGCAACATTTCCAACCTTTTTGTTAGCAGAGCTGATAAGGGCAACAGGCGCGCTGCCAGGAATAAAAGTTGGCAGCCCCAGAGGGTAAAGAATGATAAAGGGATGCATTGCTTTCCCACACTTCCACATTCATGCTTTCAAGTCAATGGGGGTGGGGGTTTATCAACCCATAGAACTGTAGAGTCAGAGGGCACCCAAAGGGTGATCCGGTTCAAGCCTCTGCAATGCAGGGATTCCAATCCACATTTGGGTTCGAGAGTGCAGGATAAGGGCATGGCCACATCCACCTTCCTTGCCCACATGGCTGCACTCAGGCAGAGGACTCATGTTGCCACATCTCAAGCAGAGCTGCACTTACACACACATTCAGTGTTTAGGATAATATTTTAGTTTGCTGTTCATTATGTCCGATTGAATGTTAATTGTATTTAAATGTATACTTTATATTTGACTTTCTTCAGTAAGGTTTTATTCTGGATTGTTTTATATGCTGTTTTAATGTAGATTGCAAACTGCTTTGAGATCCCCCCCCCAAAAAATATAAAGCAGTATAGAAATGGAAATAATAATAATAATAATAATAATAATAATAATAATTATTATTATTATTATTCATGGCACTGTGAAAAGTCGCACATACAGGTCTCACTTGTGGGCATCTGGCTAGGAAACCTCAACATGGCCAGTAGCTTGCAGGAAAAGATCTAGGCTCCTGTAATTTACCCGGATTAAGGAACTCTGCCACCTTTGTGCAACAAACCGGCTTTTTAAAAAAATAAAAAAAGAAACCAACTTCTTGAGATTAGGAAAGTGAAGGGCAAAAAGCGTTGAAAAGTGTGTATTGAAGGAATGATTACTGGGAAGCAAATCAGGATGATTTCACACACACGAAAGCAGAAAGATTCAATATACAGTGGTACCTCGGGCTAAGAACTTAATTCGTTCCGGAGGTCCATTCTTAACCTGAAACTGTTCTTAACCTGAAGCACCACTTTAGCTAATGGGGCCTCCTGCTGCTGCTGCACCACCGGAACACGATTTCTATTCTTATACTGAAGCAAAGTTCTTAACCCGAGGTACTATTTCTGGGTTAGCGGAGTCTGTAACCTGAAGCGTATGTAACCTGAAGCATCTGTAACTCGAGGTACCAACGTAATCTAACATCTGTGCAGGTTTTGCACGAGGAAATCTGAATGCTCAGTAAATAAGTTGTCCAGAGTAACCCCTGGCCACTGTGAGAACTGGATCATAGATTCATAGAGTGGTAAAGTTAGAGCGGTCCCCCAAGGGTCATCAAGTCCAACCCCCTGCGATGCAGGAATCACAGCTAAAGAATTTCTGGTGGAGGATGGGCATCCAACTTCTCTTTAAAAGCCTCCAATGAGAGTCCACCATCTTGTGAGGATCTTTCATTCTCATCCCACAGGGCTCTTCTCATGTTCCCATGACCGAGCCAGGTCCTAAACCAGCCTAAATGCAAATTTTCTGGTTGAGGGACACATCTAAGAGCTGGTGTGCTTTGTTGTTGCAATTGTCCCTGGGAAGTGAAGGGTCTTCAATTTCCCCACCCCCAGGCTTTTTGGCCCTGTGACAGCAAAATGCAGAGGAAGAAACCCAGTTCTCAGAACCTTGGACGAGAGAGAGAGAGAGAGAGAGAGAGAGAGAGAGAGGAGGGAGAGAGATTCCGCTCAATTCCTTTATTTATATATTTTATTTTTAATTAAAAAATAAAGGTTATCTTGATACATCTCTTTGCAGCCTTTGGGCAAAAATGCACCCTCGAACAAGACTATAGGAAACATGGTGCTTATCTAATCTTGGCACACGGGGCTGGAAAATAAATGCAGCGCTCCTCCTGCAAAGTTTTCTTCTGAATTCTGTGGCTCGCTCTCCTCCCTGCCACCCCCAGATATTTCAGTGCTCCTACAGTAAGTGCCATATAAATCTGGAGACCAATGTATCCAAATCTGCAAAAGCTCTAAAAACACTGGTGTTGCTGTAGACATTGGAAATCTCCTTGGGTTGATATAGGCTTCACAAAGGGCTCGAGCTAAGAATCAGTTCACACCTTATTTCTGGGAACTTCAGTTGGGGAAAAAAGACTGGTCTTTAAGTACTGATGCTAAAACATTTAGGTCCACAAGGAGGGATGAAGGATAAATTTGGTTCAGTCCACATTTAAAGGCAGCCCTTATCAAATGCACACTTCTCAAAATCATACACGGATAAAAAGACACTCATCCTCTGAATTCGACACTTCTCCGAATTTTGCAATCCAGTTCTCTAAATGTACATGTGTACACTAAGGTAAAGGTAAAGGGGACCCCTGACCATTAGGTCCAGTCGTGACCGACTCTGGGGTTGTGGCGCTCATCTCGCTTTATTGGCCAAGGGAGCCGGCGTACAGCTTCTGGGTCATGTGGCCAGCATGACTAAGCCATTTCTGGCGAACCAGAGCAGCACACGGAAACGCCGTTTACCTTCCCGCCGGAGCGGTTCCTATTTATCTACTTGCACTTTGACATGCTTTCAAACTGCTAGGTTGGCAGGAGCAGGGACTGAGCAACGGGAGCTCACCCCATCGCCGGGATTCAAACTGCCGACCTTCTGTTCAGCAAGTCCTAGGCTCTGTGGTTTAACCCACAGCGCCACCCGCGTCCACACTAAGGTAAAGTGTGCATAAAAATGCATACGTTGGTGAAAACAGCATGCAAAGGTGCTTTCTAATAGCGGAAACTGCTGGTGTGTATTAGGCAAAACTGCATGCAGAAGCATGCATATGTTAGAAAAATCTATGCTAAGGTGCTGATGAATTTTCATAAAGACTTAAAAAAAAAATTGCAAACATGTGAAAATGTCGAGAACTGAACGTCAGATTGGACAAGTGAGGAAGTGACGTTGATTGATTTGCCTCTCTCAAGTTGCAACCCTTTCTCATCAGCAAGTGAATCCCATTGAACTCAATGTAATTTGCTGCTGACTAAACATGTTTAGATTTTTGTGGGTGAGTCAATCAACTGGCTAAATTAGTTAAATTTGGGTTGTATTCCTATGCCCACCTACTGAAGAGTAAGTACCATTTACCTCAGTGGGGTTCTACTTCTAATGCAAAATCTATAGGATTGCACTTTTAAATCCTTTCTGAGCATGTCTGACCTGCCTCATTCTGCCACAGAAATAGACTGCAGACAACTGAGGAAAATGTTCTTTGCAAATTTCAATGCAAACTGATGCGTGGATCGGAACCCAGGCCCCACCTAAACTACATGGCTTCCCCCAAAAAAATCTTGGGGATGGTAGTTTCTCAAAGGTGCTGAGAGTTGTTAGGAGATTCCCCCTATCCCCCTTACAGAACTACAATTCCCAGAGTTCCCTGAGGAAAAAGGAGCAAATTGTTAAAACCACTCTGGGGAAGGGGCAGGTCTCACCCACCTCCCACATGTAAAATCCTAACAGCCATGGGTTCCCCCCAAAGAATCCTGGGATCTGTAGTTTCTTAAGGGTGCTGGGAATTATAGCTCCGTGGGTGGTGAACTACAGTTCCCAGGATTCTTTGGGCGGGGGGGAAGTACTTTAATAGTATGGTGTGCACATAGCTTGATTCTCCATTCCTGATGTAGACCAGGCTCAATGATCAAGCGTGAAACAGTGTGAATCAACCCTCAGTTATGGCAACTTAAACTCAACTTATTGCCCCACTGTCTTTAGTGAGATGCAACAGTTGCACCCACAATGAGCCCAAGACCTGCTCCAGATTCTTCCCCCAAACTTCCTGTCATCATCCTTCCAGCATTCTATCAAAGAACAGGTGGCCAGCAGGCAGCCCTCCTGTAGTTCCCTGGTCACTTCCCCCTCTTTTCACTGCAGTCATATGAGTCTCAATGCACAAACTCCCAGCTCCATGGCTCAGTGGTAAAGCAGCTGCCTTGCATTCAGAAGGTGCTGGGTTTGATCCTTGGTAGGTCTAGGAGAGGTCCAGGTAGATCTAGAAGAGTCCTCTACCTGAAACCTTGGAGAGCCACAGCTGGCCAGCGTAAACAATACTGAGATCGACTTGCTGGTCCTCTCTCTCCTGGCCCAAACCAAGCCACTGCCAAATAGAGGAAACAGACCCTGCTTCCCTCCCTCACTGCTTTTACACTCAGAAGGCAGATGAACAGGCAGCTGAGAGCAGAAGCAACAGGCTAGGGTTGGGTTGTGGGCCTCCAGAATAGGTCCAGGCCTTGGCAGGTGCCCCGAATTGCTGGTCTTTGGTAGTGGCCCTGATCTTGGTGCATGCATGCTTCTGGGGCACAGAAAACACCTCTTCATGCAGCACATAGTTAAACCACTCGCTCTGCTAGGTCTGGCGGCTGCAGGCCCAAGACGGAGAAGAACGTTCCTCAAAGACAATACAGTGGGCTGTATCAGCAATGTACAGTGGTACTTCGGGTTAAGTACTTAATTCGTTCTAGAGGTCTGTTCTTAACCTGAAACTCTTCTTAACCTGAAGCACCACTTTAGCTAATGGGGCCTCCTGCTGCCGCTGCGCCGCCGGAGCATGATTTCTGTTCTCATCCTGAAGCAAAGTTCTTAACCTGAGGTACTATTTTTGGGTTAGCAGTGTCTGTAACCTGAAGCGTATGTAACCTGAGGTACCACTGTAATACAGAAACGTATCTGTGTAGGTGTCCATTTCAAGGTATATTTGTATAAATTGGTGATCCCTGTATTTTAATGGTGTATCTCTGCATATTCTGTACAGTAGGCACAGAATATTTTTATTTCCTTTTGGTGGATAAAACGACCAAGATGGTCACAACAACAATTAAACTTTGACTTGACTACTCACTCCCCCAGGAGGCAGTGATGGCCACCAACTTGGATGGCTTTAGAAGAGGGTTAAACAAATTCATGGCGGAGGAGAGGGCTATTGATGGCTACTAGCCATAATGGCTCTGCTGTTGAGAGAGTGCTGTTGTGGTCTGTCCCTGCTTGCAAGATTCCTGCAGGCATCTGGTTGGCCAATGTGAGAACAGGGTGCTGGGCTAGATGGCCCACGGGCCTGATCCAGCAAGGACTCTTCTGAAGTCCTTAGATTAGGGCTGCATACTTCCGGAATTTCCCGGACATAGCCGGGATCCGTCTGTCACAAATGGCATGCAGGCGGAATTTTCGGGGAAAAACGTCCAGGGAAAACCTGGGACAGCCCATATCAAGAGTGTTGGTTTTTGGGCGACGTTCCTAAAAAATAGCTCAACAACTTTGGGGAAAAAAGAATAAAATAAAATAAAAGTGCAACAACTTTTGTGTCTGGATTTTCACTTTTGGAAACATGGCAACCTGACCTTAGATATGCCTTCTCTTCTGACATCAACAAGGAACTCTTCTACCGAGAGTTCGAATATTGCTTCATTGAGTTCAGGGTTTCCTACGCTAACTGGCTGTGGCACTCCAGAGCTTCATGCATGGATCCTGTCAGGAACCGAACCCGGGGCCTTTTGTCTTTAAAGCAGATGCTCTACCACTGAGCTACCACTTTCCCTTCCATGTGCGCCAGAAGTTTGTATTGCCACCACTGAGCTCTGGGTGGCTACAGGCAGGCCTACCCGCTTGCCCCTGCCGCAGCCAATGCAACTTCCACATCCACCATGAACCAAACCAATACATCCACAACTCTTGCCACTGCCCTAGCCTCTTGCCCACCCCCTGCCACCACTTCAGTCTTGCCCCTCTTGGCCACTGGTGCTGCCAAGCCCTCCAAGTCAGAGAGCGACTTGAGGAAGTCGGGCCTCTACTCCTGTGTTTCCCTCAAACCCCACCCCCCTCTGATCTTTGTGATGCTGGAACATAAACATCCCAGATTCCCAAACACCCCTGTTAAAAACACCTTTGCTTTGGCCCGTTCCCAATTAAGCACTGGTTGCAGAAGAATGCTATGTTGGAACGACGACAAAGGACCTCTTGTTTTGTTTGGCAGTCACTGCTCTGAACCCATTTCACAGATGAGGATAATAAGGGGGAAGGTGAAAAGGGACAGTTTTTTTCTGGCAGCTGTTCGCTAAGGAGCCTCTTCCTCCCAGCTCCCTGTGCATTTCCAAAGTCTCAGATTTGCAAGCATGCAGTCTCTTTGGGAGGAGAGCTCAGGCCCCACTATCTGTGGGGAGGGTGTACACACTGCATTGGAAAGAAGGAAACTGTCGCTGCTGCCTACATGGGGTCTCTTTGCTCCACAGCGACCCACCCATACTGTTTGATTTCATAAGGTACCAAGTGTGCACGCCTCCAGTTTGTACATTGTCCTTTTGGGAAGTGTGGGGAGTTTGTTTTTTCTCTCTCTCCCTCTCTCTTAACTTGATGCAGTTTCTCCCAGAGGGGTTTCAGTTGTGTTTTTAGGAGATTCCTCTGTCTCTGAAGGGGCATCCAATGGCTCCCCGGTCAACCCACACTCTTCCGTGGCCTGGCTTTCCTCCAAAGCCGGCTGGTGAGCTTGGCTGTTCATCTTCTCCTCCGCTTCGATCTCTTCGGAACTGGGAATGGAGTTTTTCTTGGGGCGGCCTTTGGGTTTTGTGGGGGCCTCCTGCCCACCTTTCAGGACCTGGAGCAAAAAAACAACACGCTGAGTGTCTAATTGCTGCTTTCATGGGGTTTTTAAAGTGTTAAGTTGGACCAGCAACAAAACCTTACAGCATGGAGAGTTCCTGTGCCCTGTCCAGCCTGCCATGCCCTCTCCCAGGATATTCCATCCCATCCCCTAGTTTTCCATTCCTCCTCCCAAAAGTCAGTCAGCATTCCATGCCCACTGAGCATGCTCAGTCCTCAATAGGGTGTTTTTAGAGTTTCCCACCCTACTGATTTCTTTCCTGTTGTTTTTAGGGGTTTCCTCCAGGCCTGAAGATACCTCACTTTTGTTTCCCCATGTTGTCTAGGATTCTATCAGCACTCTGCAACTGAATTCACTGTTAGAGGAACTGATTCATCTTTTGCTCTGCAGTACTCAATTAGAACAAAAAGCGTCAAGAGATTTTTGTCTTGCCGTTTAGAACTTTTTATTTGTTAAATTTAATTTTTGAAAAGGGGGCTAGAAATGTTCTTAAGTAAATAAATCTTGAAACACTGATAGTGGAGGCAATCCACTCTGATGCTGAAAGGCATTAATAAAAGATTATTTTACTATCCCAAGTGTCAGAGAAGCAGGAGGATTTTTGGGTGAAAAGCACATTTAGGGATGTCACCCAACTAAGGAAGTCTTACACTTCAATCCTATGCGGGTTTACTTTGAACTGAGTCTCACTGCCTAAAGAAACTGCAACTTAACTATTTTTTTAAAAAAGTAACAACTAAGTTTTACGTTAAAAATGTGATTTAAAAAAAATGAGACACAAACCTTTTGCCCCTTTTCATTTCATTTCATTTTTGCCTTGGGCATACCCTGTACTCATGCCTCTGTTTACCACAGTACCTACCATTTTCTTCCACTTCATCCTGCGATTCTGGTACCAAGTCTTCACCTGAAGTTGAGTTAGGCCCAGGGACTGAGCCAGATCCAGCCTGGAAAACAAGAGATCCAAATCAACGACAGAAAGGAAGACGGCCAAGATCTGATTAGCTCACATCCTGCGGAAAGCGAACAAGTTGTACAGACACTGGAGGGGAAAACCAAGGAACACTAACAGCCAGGGGAAGATAGTCATCATCAGACTGACAACGTGCCCTGTCTGTCCAAATAAATCAACTAAAGGAAGCTAAAGAGAAGTTGTAATTCCCCCTTTGGTGTAATTAACTGCGGGGAGGTTTCTCCCCCCACCCCCACAAATAAATAATTTGTTGCAAATAACAATGCAAACATTTGAGAGGTACAGAAACGAGCAATGACTTGTTTGTCTGATATCATACGGTCCTCGACTTAAGAAAGAAAATGATGCAGAGGGGAAAAGCAGAGAGATATGTTATGAACAGAGGCGTAGAAAGGGGGTGCAGGAGTGCGGCCCGCCCTGGGTGTCATCCCTGAGGGGGTGACAAAATGGCACACCGTGGGGGGGCGGCACTTACCGTGGGGCCTGGCCTGCAGTGCGCCCGAGGCACGCATCTCTCCTGGGAGTGACACGGTGGCTCGGGGCCCCATGCTGCCCGAAACGGCAGTGTGGGGCTTGCGTCCGCCAGGCGGACTCTGTGGGCAGCTTGCCCCCATGGACGACTCGCCCCGCCCCCACCACTCTGGGTACTGGAGCAGCTAGCTACACCCCTGTTTATGAATAATAAGATCATGATGCCACGGAAGCACAACAGAGCCATCAGTAATAAGTCCTGGAATGCAAACTTAACTGATTGTTTCAGGTTGAGGAGCATCACCTGCACAGTAATTTCCTGTGGGGCTTATATAGGAGAGAGACGGAGGCAGTAATGATTGGTGCACTAAGAGCTCATCCACACTTCTGCTTGCCTTGTGCAGTTTCTGCTTGTCTCGTGCCTTTCTAGGCTCTGGTCCAAGCAGTTTTGCCTTTGCCCCACTGCTTTCCTCAGGAAAACCCGCTCTTTAGCGCTAAATCAGAACAAATGGCAATCTGTGGGAAACCCCATTGCTGCTTGTTCCGCTAAACCGCAGCTTTTGCCAGGGGGGAGTGGCTAGGCAAACAAACAGAGGTGCAAATAAGTCCTAACTTGGAAAGAAGCCCCATTGAATGCAGTGGGATTTCTCCCTGAGTCAGCATGCCTTGGACTGGGCAGTTAAATTGCTTTCATTGCTCCTTAAAGCGACGGTCCCAAGAAGAGACTTCCGTAAACACCTGCAAGTTCAGGCTGGCCAATTCTGCAGACCTGTGGTCTGTCTCATGCATGTTCAAAAACAATGTTAAGGGTTTGGTGGTGCTAAAACGGGGGCCACCAACCTTTCTGACCTGGGTGTGTGTCTGAGCGTACCATGTTGCCCCTGAGCACTGCATCGAAGGACCTCTTATTAGTGGTTAGCGTGTCAGACTAGGACCTGGGAGACAAGGCTTCAAATCCCCACCTTGGGCCAGTCACTGCCCCTCAGCCTAACCTACCTCACAGGGCTGTTGTGGGAATTAAATAGGGGGGAGAACCATGCACACCCCCAGAGCTTCTTGGAGAGAGAAAACTGTGGGGTATAAATACAACAGATAGATAAATAAATCGACCAGCCTCTCACTGACCTTCTTGTGCAAAGGTGGATTTGCAACTTTGGTTTTCCACAAATGCTGGAAAGCCGGACGGAACTCGGCTTCCTAAGGATTCAAAACTCAATAGCACTCAGATCAAACTGGGTTTCACCTGAGATTTCCTTGATAAGATATGGGAAGGTCCCCTGCGCGGGCACACACAAACACACAGCCAAGCACCACTGTGTTTACGTAAGGCCCGTTGGTTAAGGACCAAGTGAAAGACTAATCTCCTCGGATGAAACTTGCTGAACAAAGAAATCTGAAAGAGACCTGCTGGCATGACCTCTTCGCTGTGCCTCTGCCATGATTAGCATCAGTGAACCAGAAACACAAAAGGTGCGAGGGCAGCCTAAGCCAAGCTTGGTGCACTCGGTCACGTCTCATACACACCACCAGCTGCACAGTAGATGACTCTGAATCACCCTGAAATTTGCCAGGTCGTTTTCTCTGTGGTGGGGTTCCAATAGCTGTGTTCACATGGCAATCGTTTTACCAGTTGGTTGCAGCCCCAAAAGGCCCAGAGGACTTGGCTTAAAGAGGGACAACAGGTGACCTACTTCTTCCACTCGTTACCCGTTTCTCAATGGACTGGAAACATAGAAGCAAACCTTATAGCAAGTTGGATCATGGGGCCATCTGGTTTGGTTGTTTGGGCAACCTCGTACCCTCCAACATTTCAATAATAATAATAATAATAATAATAATAATAATACATTATTTATACCCCACCCATCTGGCTGGGTTTACCCAGCCACTCTGGGGGGCTTCCAACATCAAACAATAAAAACTTCCCTAAACAGGGCTGCCTTCAGATGTATTCCAAAAGTCAGATAGTTGTTTATTTCCTTGACATCTGATGGGAGGGCATTCCACAGGGCAGGCACCACTACTGAGAAGGCCCTCTGCCTGGTTCCCTGTAACCTCACTTCTTGCAAGGAGGGAACCACCAGAAGGCCCTCGGTGCTGGACCTCAGTGTCCAGGCAGAATGATGGGAGTGGAAACGCTCCTTCAGGTATACTGGGCCAAGGCCGTTTAGGGCTTTAAAGGTCAGCACCAACACTTTGAATTGTGCTCGGAAAAATACTGGGAGCCAATGTAGGTTTTTCAAGACTGGTGTTATGTGATCTCGGCGGCCGCACCCAGTCTATCTGCCGCTGTCAGGGGTGCCTCAGGTCCCAGCTCACAAAGGACCAACGCCAGTGCCTCTTTATATACAAAAGTCTTTATTGAAGTTCATTGGCGGTTTTACATCCGTGGCGCGCATCCCTACGTCTGTAACCTTAGACCGTTGAAGCTCCGTCTGATTCTTCCCCTCCCCTACACCAGCTTAACACCTGAGCCTTGCTCCACCTCTTCCTATGCCCTTTTCTCCTCTGGGTCCTCCTGCCCCCCGGGGTTCCACCCCTCCTGGACTCCTCGGAGGCGGATTCCTCTGACTCCTCCCCCTGTCTCCGGCGGGCTTTGGGACCTGGCTCCCAATCCGGACTTTCTGCTGACCCGCGCGCCTGCACATTTGAACTTGGCGCGCGCGCCCAGCCGGCCACTTTCCTCCTAATGGCTACACTGCTCCTGTCACTGCTTCCTCCTTCGGAGGGGCTGGCTGGAACTGACCTCCGCTCCGCCCCTCCACTCTCCGACGGAGGCGTGGTCAGTTCTGACTCTCTCTCTCTCCCTGCTGGAGTGGACGCCGGTTCTGCTCTGTGGGCTTCTTCCGCCCCGCTACGCTCTGGCAGGGAAGCTGGCCCTGATTTCCAGCTGCCGCTTGGGGACTCACCGCTGGCCCCCCTTGCCCTGACCCTGGGCGCCTCTTTCTGAGAGTCTTCTGATTCGCTGGAGAGACTCATGGAATCTCTCGAGTCACTGTCATATCCTCCTAAGCTCCCCTCAGATTCCTCCCCTTCGCTCTCCAACCCCTCTTTCCCCCGTGGCTCTGCCCCTGAGCCCCTGACAGCCGCATTCTGGATTAGTTGTAGTTTCTGGGTCACCTTCAAAGGTAGAGCGCATTGCAGTAGCCCAAGCGGGAGATAACCAGAGCATGCACCATTCTTGTGAGACAGTCCTCAGGTAGGTAGGGTCTCAGCCTGCGTACCAGATGAAGCTGGTGGACAGCTGCCCTGGACACAGAAAAACCACTCGCTTTGATGCTCCCTCTACAATCAGCAGCACCGACTCATTCTAATGCTTACCTGCATTACAGGGCTGTTGTAATCATCGCTGAGATCAACTCTTTACAGAGTGTTTTGAACACTCGGCTTTGCTATAGCAACACCGAGTGTTATTATCGGCAGGGCAGAGCCCATCAAGGCTGCTGCTTATCAGGCCCATCTGCCCTCTCTTGCCATTAGCGAGCCTCATCATTCAACGGTTCTCTTCGGGCTTTCTTTAAGACCCACATCAAAGGGCAGCAAGGGCAAGGGCAAAGCCGTTGGCAAGACTCCTGAACGGTATGCTGCTGGGCACACTGGTGTGAGGAATAGGGTGACCACATGCTCCACTTCATAGTGGGCGGCCCTATATTTGAAGGGCTTTCTGGCCAAAGTCCAGTTTAAAAATAAAGAGCCCTCCTTAAGGAGGGAGTGCAAGGAGTCATGAAGTTGGACGGCCACCCGAGCAGGAACACTGCTCACCTTGCCATACGGTCTTTCCGACAGTGGTGAGGTACATTGCATCTCCATTTCCATGAGAGCAGTGACATCTGAACCAGCATTAAAATATATAAATTAAGCTTTTTGCAAGTTTCATGCTAATCTGTGACTCCTTTTGTCCCCTTTTCTGATGCTGAATGATGACTTCTCTTTTTTGGCAACACATAAGGAAAGTGCAAGTAGATAAATAAGTACCACTCTGGCGGGAAGGTAAATGGTGTTTCCTGTGCGTTGCTTTGGTTTGCCAGAAGCGGCTTAGTCATGCTGGCCACATGACCTGGAAGCTGTACGCCGGCTCCCTCGGCCAATAAAGCGAGATGAGCACCGCAACCCCAGAGTCGGCCATGACTGGACCTAATGGTCAGGGGTACCTTTACCTTAAAGTAACCACTATTCCAGCATTGCACAGGGTTGGACAAAGAACTGTTGGCGTTCCTCTTCCAACTCTACCGTTCTATGATTCTAGTTTCACAAGTAGGCCATGAAAACATCTAGCATCAAATGGGATGCATTGGGGTTGCCCCAAGACCTGTTGCTACCCGAGGTGATGCTCAAGATGGCACCCTTCCTTATTCCTCATCCGGAAGGAGTGATCAGCCAGGCCATCCACCAGTTTTCAAGGAGGAAGAAAAACTCTTGAGAAAAAACATGCATGCGTGGCCATTTTTTGAAGCGTCAAGGGAAGGGCGTCTTGAATTTTCAACCAGGAAAGGAAAATATAGCAACGTCTGCTGCATCTTTGGGATGCGATGCTGGGAGCCTGGCGGAGGTTTTGCCATTACTGAATCTCAATCTTCACACGGGAAAGGCGCCTGGTTGGCAGCAGGGGCCACATCGCAGCGAGATTACCTGTAACCCTTTGCAAACTGGTTGCTGCGCCTGTTTAGAAACAACAGGCACTGCCTAGGAAACCAAAGCAACAAACAAGAGGGAGGGAGGAGGGAGGAGGGAAGGGGCAGGAGAGCTGTGCTGGCTCATCGTGCTCAGTCACGTAGGATGCCAAGGCTTATTAGTGCCAAGAGAGTCGTGTGTGTGATTGATGGTGTTGCCCAACCAGTCATGTGAGGTTCTGAGCTGGCACCACACTAGCCACCCAAACCCTTGAATGGAATCAGGACCCCTTACGAGAGGGATGAAGGAGCCCTTGGTGCTGAGTACTGTGGGCAAGAGCCCTTGGCCTACGCAGGATGGCAGTGGATCTACAGGCAGCAGTGGCTGATGCCCATGGAAGTGTCCGAAACCTCCCATTGTTCTAGGTGCATTTTGCGACAGGGAATTTCATTTGCACAAGCAGTTTCTGAGTTCTGGGTGCAGTACTGCGCCTAAGATTTCAGATTAAAACTGCAGAGTGGAAGGAAAGGAGGACCTTTTTCTGCCTCCCCACTTCTAGCTACTCTCTGAAGACTGGAGAAGAGACCCTCTTAAGAATATCAGGGAGGTGGGCAGGGGAAGGACTAGAATCATGTGGGAAATGAACATAATATTTTAGCTGCAGTTCATTCATTTCAGCTTTGCACAGTGGTACCTCGGGTTAAGAACTTAACTCGTTCTGGAGGTCTGTTCTTAACATGTAACTGTTCTTAATCTGAGGTACCACTTTAGCTAATGGGGCCTCTCGCTGCTGCCATGCCGCCGGAGCACGATTTCTGTTCTCAACCTGAAGCAAAGTTCTTAACCCGAGTACTATTTCTGGGTTAGCAGGGTCTGTAACCTGAAGCGTCTGCAACCTGAAGTGTCTGTAACCCGAGGTACCACTGTATTCTTGTTATAAAAAAGTGCACCTATACATTCCGTTGTTGTGCCTATAACATAGCTGTCAACTTTTCCCCTTTCTTGCGAGGAATCCTATTCAGAATAAGGGAATTTCTCTTTAAAAAAGGGAAGCGTTGACAGCTATGGCCTAGAACTTAGGTTTAAGGTGCCATTTAGCTCCTAGCTTTTACATTTCAGTTTCTAACACTGGCCCATGGAGGACTGGTAGGGTAGAAGCCAGGGAACCTGACAGCAGGGGGTGCCAGAACTAAGTAATTCGCAGGAGTGTCCTAGAGTGGACGCACTGGGCGGGCCTTGTCCTCCAACCGAGGTGGAGAGCTTAAAAGCACTTTCGACATGGGGAAACCCCAAGTGGAGAAAGGGGCAATCAATGGCTACTAGCCATGATGGCTACCTCCACAGCTAGAGGCAGCCATGCTTCTGAAAACACAGGAGGCTAGAGTGCTCTTGTGCTCATGTTCTTCTTGGTGGTTTCCCAGAGGCATCTGGTTGGTCAGTGTGAGAACAGGATGCTGGACTAGATGGCCCATTCCCTTGGTCCAGCAGGCTCTTCTTATGTTCTTAAATGGACCTGGCATTTGAAGAGCTTTTAAGCTCCCCACATCGCTCGGATTTAACGTGCGCAATTGCAACCAGAATTTTTGCCTAGCATTTCTGATCAGCAATGCAATCACTGAATACTTTTAAAACAAACATACACTGTATTTTTCCGTGTATAAGACACCACCCTATTTTGGGGGACTCCAAATTAAGAAAATAGGGGGAAATTGCCCCATGCGTAAGATGACCCCCCTTTTCTTAACATAATTTTAAAAGAAAAAAACCTAGTCTTATACACAGAAAAGTACGGTAATTAAAGTCTTCTTTACCCCAAATCTTGAGTAATGTGATGAATTGGTGCAGAGGCTCCCATCTTAGACTTTCCCCTACTGGGCTATAAAAACAAGCAACATTTCCTTTCCCTACTGATTGAACCAGCATCCCTCCTCTTTCAGTGGAAACATAGGGATCAGCCTTTCAAAGGGGTACCAGGAAGGAAGAAGCCTTTCTCTCTTCTTCATAAGTATCACTGCACATCAATTCATGATGGCATGTGTGCGTTTGAAGCATTCCCACAGCCCTGGTATGCATTTTCCACTGATACAATCTACTCATGTCTCCTTTGATTTTATCTTCTTCTTTTTTATTTAAGGCAAGGGTGCTTTGAAATCTGACCCGGCCATGTGACCAAGCACTCCACTGGGAGCAAGCTCATCTCCACGTGCCCAGGCACCATGGCTGTGCTCTCAGCTCCTGAACAGCTGAGAGGAACATCACAAGCCAGCATCCTGGTGAGGCTGGGAGGAGGACCTGGCCGCCAACCCCAGCGCAAGAAACACGTTTGTCCAGAAACGGAAGCCCGCAGAGAGTTTGCTTCTGCAAATGATGCTGCAAGGCTAAAGTGTGGAGGTTTGAAGTGGGGATATTTGCAAGAATTAGAAATGGCAAGGATCTGCCTGTTGGTCCCAGTACGTTTCTGAGCACAATTCAAAGTGTTTGTGCTGACATTTAAAGCCCTAAATGGCCTTGGTCCAGTATACCTGAAGGAGCGTCTCCATCCCCATCGTTCAGCCCAGACACTGAGGTCCAGCGCCGAGGGCCTTCTGGCGGTTCCCTCACTGCGAGAAGCCAAGTTACAGGGAACCAGGCAGAGGGCCTTCTCGGTTGTGGTGCCCACCCTGTGGAAATCCCTCCCATCAGATTTCAGAGGAATAAACAACTATCTGACTTTTAGAAGACATCTGAAGGCAGCCCTATTTAGGGAAGTTTTTAATATTTAATGCTGTATTGTTTTTTAACACTCGATTGGGAGCCGCCCAGAGTGGCTGGGGAAACTCAGCCAAATGGGCAGGGTATAAATAAATTATTATTATTATTCCTCTCTCTGGTTTGTGCAGCAGCAAATGGGTTCTTGTTTATTCATGTGTAAATAGGAAGATGTAACTGAAAGGAGTGACACCATCCATATAAGTTAGGCAGATTAAACACAGAATGTGTTTTGTTTTCAGATGGCCAGTGTAGAAGGTTTTTTTAGGTTTTACAAATTATCAGCAGGACAAAAGGGCACTTCCTTTCCATTTAACTTAGGTAAAGGTAAAGGTAAAGGTACCCCTGCCCATACGGGCCAGTCGTGTCCGACTCTAGGGTTGTGCACCCATCTCACTTAAGAGGTTGGGGGCCAGCGCTGTCCGCAGACACTTCCGGGTCACGTGGCCAGCATGACAAGCTGCATCTGGCGAGCCAGCGCAGCACACGGAAATGCCGTTTACCTTCCCGCTAGTAAGCGGTCCCTATTTATCTACTTGCACCCGGGGGTGCTTTCGAACTGCTAGGTTGGCAGGCGCTGGGACCCAACGACGGGAGTGCACCCCGCCGCGGGGATTTGAACCGCCGACCTGACGATCGGCAAGTCCTAGGCACTGAGGTTTTACCCACAGCGCCAAGATTTTCAATTGGTCAGGCTTCCCAGATGTGTAAATGCTTTTATGTGTCTCGTCCATGGTCATTAATTTCAACAGGTCTCCTCTGAGTAATGGAGACAACCCACTGTCTGTTGCAGTGTGTGTGTGTGTGTGTGTGTGTGTGTGTGTGTGTATATATATATATATATATATATATATATATATAAATCAGTGTTAGCTTCTGGAAATCAGAATATTACATCAATGAGAAGCAGTTCTGAGTTCAAAGCCCCTCAACCAACCTGTCTGGAGTGGAGAGGTACTTCTGCTTCTGGAACTTCTTCTCCAGCCCCATGAGTTGCAGCTCCGTGAAGATGGTGCGGCTACGGCGAGGCTTCTTCAAGCGGGGCGCGGACTGCTCCGCCTCCGACTCGCTGCTCCCGTGGGTCTCGCTGGCCTGGGTCTCTGAGCAGGTGCTCCCCGGTGTGGGGTGTGGCGAGAGGATGCGGGAAGTGCTGGCGGCAGGGATGAAGTGGGAGACGGCCGAGGGCTGCCTGGTGATGACAGAGATGAGAGGATAGGCCCTCAGAGAAGGGGAGCCTGGGGAACAAGCATCAGAGAAGGAGAGGGGTTACACCACAGGTTAGGGCCTTTGCAGGAGAGGTTGAATCATTGTGGTTCAGAGCCGCCCAATCAGAGCAAGGGCGATTGGGCAGGAAGAGGGGACATCCTGAAGTTGCATGCATGAGCTTTGTGCCTCCCACCCTAAGCTAGGTAGAAGCTTCATGGGTTTTGGGATGGAGGCACCAGGATTTAATACTGCAATGCTATAATTTACGGGGAACATTTAGGGGACTAGCCTAGTCTCCCATGTCCACTGGCTGACTACACGTCACTGCTGATTGCCTGTGATGGCCTGGGACTCAGGCTCAGACTCGGAACCAGAGGAGTCTCAGTCTGCACCGGATCCTTTGCCTCAGGCATCACCTGAACCAAGTCTGGGGCCTGACCCTGAAGAGTTCTAGTCTGCACAGGTTCCCCTGCAGCAAACACTAGCTGGGCCGAGTCAGGGGCCTGAGCCTGCCCTGGCTCCAGATGTGGGGATTACTTCGTTGCCTTCAGCTGGGCCATCACTTACAGCTGCTCCACTACCGGTGGGGAGACTGAGGCGGCCCTTGGGTCTAGTAACCCACCGATGTCTCCCGAGCTGCAGAGACTAAGGTCTGAGATTCAGTTACAGATAGGTAGCCGTGTTGGTCTGCCATAGTCAAAACAAAAAAAAATCCTTCCAGTAGCACCTTAAAGACCAACTAAGTTAGTTCTTGGTATGAGCTTTCGTGTGCATGCACACTTCTTCAGATACACTGAAACAGAAGTTGCCAGATCCTTCTATATAGTGAGAAGGTGGGGAGGGGTATTACTCAGAAGGGTGGTGGGAATGGGTGATTGGCAGATAGCTGTGATGAGCCTGTTGACGACTCTACAAAGGAATTTCAGAAATAGACTGGAAAGAGAAGCTGCTGAATTGCAACTTATTACCAAACTTAAAACCATGGAGAGACCTGGTCTGAACAAAGACATTGGATTCTTATCTCATTATACATGACAAAGCCATTTTTCACCTTCTCACCCCTTGCTTTTTCCTGTAAGACCTATTGCAGTCGTTAAGAGTCGTCAACAGGCTCATCACAGCTATCTGCCAATCACCCATTCCCACCACCCTTCTGAGTAATACCCCTCCCCACCTTCTCACTATATAGAAGGATCTGGCAACTTCTGTTTCAGTGTATCTGAAGAAGTGTGCATGCACACGAAAGCTCATACCAAGAACTAACTTAGTTGGTCTTTAAGGTGCTACTGGAAGGAATTTTTTTTGTAAGGTCTGAGAGAAGGAGAGACCCGAGTACTCGCAGGAGGAGTGCTCACCTTTGGGCGAAACAGGGAGGTGAGTCGCCGGGGGATCAGGACTGGCCATTCCCTGACAAAGATAAAAGGCTTTTGGACCCCAACCCAGGTTGCAGAAGCAACATGTACGCCAGAGATCCTGTACCTGTCCTTGCCTGGTTTCCTGCCTTGTGTCCTGCCTTGGCCCTGTTGGACTGACTCCTAGCGGAACCCTCGGATTCTGGACCGGCCCTGGACCGCGTTTCATGGGTTATCCTCCAGGCCCAGCACATTGCCCTATGCCTGTTTGGTTGAAAATAACTCTCTGCTCAGCGGTACTTGCTACCATATTGGCATGGACAGCCTTGAGACTATTTGGCCCGTCAACCAGGCCAGCGTTTGACAGCCGCAAACGGAGCCCAAGGCTTGAATGCTCAGCTTCTGTCCCAGCTTTGCACAAACATCTCTAGCCCTCACCACTGTGTTTACTCATGGATTTGTGAGCTCCTTGCTTTGCTCAAATGTCCCCGAAAAGAAGTTCTATAAAAAGCGCCACCACCAGAATGCGTGAAAATTGGACGCATTATGCCAAGTCTCTCGAGCCAAGACTGAAGTGGCTGTCGCTCTGCCACTCTTCTTTGTGTGAATAAGGAGACAGACATCTGCTCCTGACATGCTCCTGTGCTGCTTCCGAAATTGGTGGGAGATCGTGTCAAGGTAAAGGGCCAGCTGGCCATGTCCTCCTGACCAGCCTGAGAACATCCCATTTCAGTCAGCAATGGCTACGGTTCAACAGCAATGGAGACCCAGGACAAGCCTCCTTCCACTTCTCTTGAAATCCCTGATGCACCCATGAATGGAAATCAGAAAGAAAGATCAATGTATCTGCACCAATTCTGGTTATGTTCCTAAATGTGTACTGAATCTTTTAAAAAGACCCACATTCCCAAGCTCTAAGGCTAGGACAACATTTCTGTGCTGGAGTCTCCTGCTTAGTTTGCTTGTGTGTTAATTAAGACACTTTGCCATACCTTATCTTTCATATTGCATTGCTATTTAAATTCTAATAATTATTTCTGAATTCACATCGCTACATATAAACCAGCATATGCAAATCTTATATGACCCTTCATTTGTCCTATTTTGGGGCCAAGCATTTTCTTTTTTAAGCTGTGCTTAAACTGGCCATCCTATTCCAAAGAGGCTAAGAAAGCTGCTTCCATGTTAGGTTTTCAAAGAGGTTGCAAAGACTTTCTGTTTTTATTTTATTTATTCCATTGCATTTCTATCCCACCTTATTCTCCAAGGAGCTCAAGGCAGAATACATAGTTCTCACTCTCCTCACTTAATCCCCACAACAACCCTGTGAGGCAGGTTAGGCTGAGAGGTGGCAACTGGACCAAGGTCACCCAGTGGGCTTCATGGCCAAGTGGGGGATTTGAACCCAGATCTCTCAGGTCCTAATCTGACACTATAACCACTACACCACACTGATGTAGTGCAAGCCAGGACAGGCATTTGGCTGAGCCAGGTCATCTTCTGTAATTGTGGCTTAATTTGCAGTTTTTATTTGGACACATTTATACTGTGATTTTTTTAATTGCATTTTTTTAAAAAAGAATATTGTGAATTGCTTTGAGCTGATGGCTCAGCTGGTAGAGAGGAGGGCTGCAAGCTCCTGGCTCAGTTCTGGCTTAGCTTTGTTTAGGGAAAGGGTTGTGGCTGCACACAGTGAGCATAAGCTTTGCAGGTTCAAGTCCTGGCATCTCCAGACAGGACTTGGAAAGAGACCCTAACCTTGGAGGTCCACTGGTCAGGGAAGACTGACCCAGGTGGACCACTGGTCTGACTCTGCGCAGAGCAGCTTCCTATTATTGTAAGCAGTTTGAACGGATAAATAGAAAATGAAACCGTTCCACCCCTGAACGCTGCAAGCTCACACAAGCTTCCCACATTAAACACAATCTTAAAAACGAAGACAAAACTCAAAAACTAAACAATCAGCAGAGCCCAGCGGATAAGAGGTTGGCCGCAAACTCAAATGACACAAGTTCTATTCTGAGTTCTGACTCACTCCATGACCTTTCACAAGTCACTTGACGTCTCCATCTCCATTTCATTTACTGACACCCCAATCTCTAAGAACAGTTACTTGGAAGGGAGCCCCATTGACTCTGAAAGCACTTTCCCTATGTGTCCCAGATATGGCGTTCTCAGCAGTGGCAACAACAACAACAACCCTTTAAGGTAGGCTTGCTCTACACTTCAGGGGGGAGAGGATGTCTTGCCAAAGGCTGCCTAGTGAGTCCATGGCTGGGTGAGATTTAAACTGAGGGGTTCTTGACTTGCAAATCGTTTATTTAATGCTGTTGGTGGTTGGAGCACTGGGCTGGGACATGATTTAGACCCCCACCCAGCCCTGAAGTGCCCTGGGTGATCCTGGACCAGTCATGAGCTTTAAGAGAATGGGGCCCAGTTTAGCCCAGCATCTTGTTTCTATGGAAAGCCTTTGGGAAGCCCACAAGCAGAACAACACTCTCCTCTCTTGTGCTCCCCAACAACTGATATGTCAGAGGCATACTGTGTCCGAGAGAGGATGCAATACATAGCCAACATGGCTAGTAGCCATTGATGGCCTTCCATGAATTTCTCTAATCCCCTTTTAAAGCCATTCAAGATGGTGGCCATTGCTACAAGTTGTGGCAATGACTCCAAGTGTTTAAGTATGGGCCTCATGGAAGAAGGAAAAAAGGACCTCCTGTGTGAAAAAGCCTGTCCGGACATCTTTATGATCTAAAGAATTCCTTACCTGGATGCAGCAAGGATCTCTAAAGCTCAGAAATGGAAGACAAGACAAGACCTGGACATTTTTTAGCGATACAAAACTATGCGGACTCTGGCTAGGGCAGGGAAAATAACTTGCAAATTCTGTGTTTCTAAAGGCAAAGAAGAGGCAAAACTTTTCCACTGTTTGGCGGGACTTTATTTCTTACACGTCAAACTCGGACATGCAAAACTCTCCCCATGCCAAATCGCAATGTGCTTTTCTTTTTTAATATGTTATTTATTTATGTATAAAATTATACACCGCTTATTGGTTAAAAAAGAGAAAAAACCCTCAAAGTGGTTTACCCCCAAAAAAGAACAATAAAATTATCAGTGAGGTAAATTACCAACAATTAAAGACTTAAATTAAAGACTTTCCAAAAGTTAAAATAACAATAAACTAAAAACAGATGAAAACTCACATCCTATACCACCTGATCTCTACTAATTTGCATGAACAATCTCTGCACTGCTCCTGCATTTTGTGGTTTTGTTTATGTTCTATCACTTCTGTATCTTTGACCCTACATTAATTTAAAAGAATTCTTGCAAAACAAGAGAAAAAGCCTGTCCTGAAACTTCCGACACTCAGTTTCATTGGATGACCCAGGTGTCCTAGGTTGATGAGCGAATGAGAAAAACATCTCTCTATCCACTTTCTCCATGGCATGCATAATACTATATACTTCTATTGCATATGCACACTTCTTTTCTAAACTAAAAGACCCTGTGATCATTTTGACTGCCCTTTGCGGAACCTTTTCAGACTCCAAAGCAGGGGTCAGCAATCTTTTTCAGCCATGGGCCGGTCCAGACCATGTGGTGGACTATATTTTGAAAAAAATAAAATAAACAAATTTCCATGCCCCACAAATAACCCAGAGATGCAT